GAAAGTGGAAGCGGGAAAGGTGAGATGTGGAATCGTCTGTTCCCATCCAAGTTTAGTGTAGAAGTGGTGGCTCTTTGTTCTTTTGGTATTATTATTGGTTTCTAACACCCTTTGGAAAACATTTTTTCCACAGCAAATCCAATAATAAATTTGAGGGCCCGGGCAACTTCTTTATGGGGAGTATTAGAATAAAATGGCGTGTCACATCCTAAAGATCTGCTCTACAGCCCTGCTACTGGGAGATTTAGAAACCAACTTGTCTAGCCTAATAACTTTGCCACAGTTGGGGGATTATTGACTGGATTCCATCCCTAAACAAGCTGGTGCTGTCAGACTGATAAATGCTTTCTGGGCTATTTTAAATTTCTCCTCTTAAGAGATGGGACTTAACTAATATACATGCTTGTGCTTTTTTATATTTAACCAAGGTTAAGTATTTGTAGCCTATGGGAGGAGAAATTTAGACCAGCATAACAATATGGACATCTAAAAGAAGAATAAATCTAGAAACACAAGTAGGGAAGAAGTGGGACTAAATATACTAAGACAATAAGTAAGAGGGTTAGATGAGAGGTGGAATATGCTGGTCCTGGCCTTGCTCAGATTAGGGTTTAAAAGCAGATAATTAGTCTGCCATACATCTCAATAACCTTTTATTTGTATTTCATATGATAACCAAATGCTTAGCCATGCAATAACAATGTATGTTGGTGCATGTCTCAACATAGTACTTTCAACCAACTGATTGTTGTAGGTTCATGTCTTGAACATAATAGAAAAGAAGGCTATAATTTGTAGTAGCCTGTGTTGAGCATTTCTAGCTGGTTGCTATTTTATGTCATGCCTGTTCCTTCAATCTTCTCTGCATACTTTAAACTGGTTGGAGAAGGGCGTGTTAGTACAGATTGTTAGGTTTGAAATTGAGCCCTGTTACTGACTGCATGGAGGCCAAGAAATGACCATCTACGGAAGAGGCCTTACTTCTCTGCCATATCTTATGTTAGTAGTACTTTTTTGTTACTTAAGACTGATTAAGATTGCACAGGAGACTGATCTATATATAGCTACTGGCAATTGAATTTGAAACAGATCCTGACAACTACCTGATTTCTCGGAATGGATGAATTGAATTTGAAACAGAAAGGCCTTCTATCTGTATTCAGATACTTGCATTCTTTGTATTTGTGGTGATAGGTTTTACCTGTGAGATAATTTTTGCAGGGTCTCCTTGCTTTGGGAGTTAATAGACTTCAGGCTTCATGACCGTGCAGAATAATTAGTGCATTCTCTCAAAAGCTGAAATTGACACTTCACAGACAAACTCAAGAACAAATTTGATTGATACGGAACAAATTATAGCTGGCATCAAAATTTATGGGTTCAATTAGTCCCATGTGAAGCTAAAGTTGACATCTTTCTCTTTGGTGCAAGATCCCAAGAGAGGTGCAAGTACATAGCTCAACTCAACAGTCAACCTGCCTGGGAGGTTTCTGAAGTTTGGATGAAAATCTTGATTGTCATGTGGCATCTGTTCTGTATTCCTGTTGTTACAACGTATGGTTCACTTGATGTTGGCTATGCTCTTCAGCGATTATTTTCTGTTAGAAGCTTAGAAGGGCATTTCAGCGAAAGGGTCAGACATGAAAGATGAGAATTAATGTTTATATGGGGAAGACGCCAAGCATCAAAGCTTTCAATGTGGACATAACTGGCCTAATAACAGCTAGAACATAGGAACAGCATGTATAACTGTACATGAACTTCTTGTAATTTTACAATAATGAAACAACTGATGTTATTTTTTAAAATGTGTATACCCAGTCCTAGTTGACAGTTATGACCAAAACGATGGTAAAATGCCCAAAAAATTTATTGTAAACCAATTTTACAACATTGGAAATTGTATACAGAAATCTCAACACGCAAAAGAATCCAATCAAATACTAAATGATACACAAGATGAAGTTTAACTAGCAGCAGAATGGACATATGATTAATCCATTTTCATTACACTCAGGGCATCTACTCCACAACCCATCACCATCCGCAGCAAGCTTATGGCTTCCCCTGCATCTGTAACAAAGCACAAACCGAGCTCCAGCGCATCCTTCACATGGCTCGCTGAACATGTCAGCAGGCGGGATCCCTTCGAAAAGCACTTTGAGCTTTCCCTGCTCGTGCAAACCTAATACCTCCTGAGCTCCTCCTATGTACCTTCCCATTATAAACAGCCTTGGCGGAACTGTCTTCCCTTCCATTATTCTCCATAACTCTTCCTTGTACTCCCTGTGCATTGACACGTCTCTCTCCAAAAACACCAGCCGGAAACTCTCTAGCAGGAACCGTACTCTGTTACAGTCTTCGAAGGTTTTTCTAATCCCTCTCAGCGTCGTGCTGTAGAAGACTACTGACCCGTCTCCGCCCGGCGGACACCTCTCTTCGAATTCTAATAATGGATTGTCACTGTAATTATTATTAACAACTTCGTTGCCGTCGTCTTCTAGTCGGCGGGTTTTTTGGGGGGGCTCCATTTCTGCGATTTCCTGGAGATCATTTTCCTCCTCTGTTTCTAATTCTCTGTTTTCTCCAAGCTTCTCCTTCTGTTCTGTTCTCTCTATTCTCTCTGCTTCCCTCGTCCTCATGTGCTCTTTTACTGCTTGTTCAAAGGCCGCGAGTAGGTTTGGATCAAAAAGGCTGTTCGACTCCAATTCCGGCCGCCGGAACGAGGATATATCGATCTCAGATAAGGGTTTCTGCCTACACTCACCCATCTCTGATTTTGAAGCAGTCTTCACATTTTCATTGCTAGAAATTACCGGGTCTTTACCCTTCATGGATATGCCAACGTTTTCCTTATCGTCGTCATAATGATCCAAATCCATGTCTTCCTTTTTTTTTTCTTCTTCTTCTTCTTCTTTTTCTTCTTCTTCTCTGAGTTCTCTCATGAGCTCCGCCACATCGATCATGTCGGGCTCTTGACCTGCTACAGTGCTCACCTTATTATTCTCCTCTTCTTTATCTTGGTCTTTTGGGACCAACTGGGTCTCTTGTGTTCCTGATGTGGAGTTACTCCTCTTGGGATAAAAATCAAGAATGGCATCTGCTGCCAGTACCTGAAGAACTCGATCCTGTTGTAAATAGCCAATGGGTTTGATTGATTTGAGCTTCTTCAGTAACCTGCCTTTCACTGATTTCATGTTCTCCCTTGCTGAAAATTCAGCCGGTAGAATCCAATCTGGGTTTGCGAGATAAAATTTCTGGGTGATTAAGCTGAGAGAAAACACGAGAAAAGAGTGGGTCAAAAAGTTTTCTTCCTTTTTGTTTGTTGCAAGGAGGTGGAGCTTCAACGGCTAGAAAGAAGAAATAATTTTAAAATTCAAAGGCGTTGAAGTGGGCGAACGGGCACTAATCAGGTGTAGCATTAGGACAGGCATAGTCGCATCACAATTGTTTGTGCTGACACGTGGAACCATCGGATGACTTTCAGTAGCAACGGTCATAATTCTTTACATTTCAATTTCCGTTTTCAATAGCACATGGATTCCATCATTGTGAATTATCTTGAAATAAAATATTAAATTTTTTCATAAATTTGTAGTTCACAGTCTAATTAAATAACATATTATTTCGATTTTCTAAAAGCAAAATTTGAAGAAAGAGAATATTTTGATGAATAGGAAGATTGAAAAATTAAAAGGAAAAAAGGATTAGTCTTGGGTTATTGCATAAACACATAAATTTAAAAATTAAAAATTAAAAAAATTATGAAATAAATTAGGAGCCTAAATTTCACAATTTAGTGTAAAATTACTTTTATATGAGAGAATTTATTACTTAAATACTCTAATATTTCCCCCCCTTTTTTTTATAGGAACAATGCATTCTAGTATTATTTCCTTATTTATATGTAAAAATTAGAGAGGAAAATTAAACTCTATAGTATAATAATAAAAGAAAAAAAAATTATTATATTATATTTAGTTTATTAACTAAAATCAAAATTTTGAGGTATTATTTGAAATGTCTAGATATACACTAAATAGTTTAAAATTTTTCGTTAAGGAATAAAAAGAAATGAAACTTTAAAATAAATAAATAAAATTATCCAGAATTAAATTATTATAAAATTGTAATAAATATTAAAATTTAAAAATTAATTTAATAATATTTTTTTTTTTTTAGCCCACTTATCATATGTGAAGATGACTAGGGCTGGAATAGGGAGATGGGCGTGGAGTTCGCTGTTGGAGGCCGGACCATGGCCCACACAAATAATCGGACGGGATTGAAGCAAACGTTTTAAAAAAAATCGTCGGGGAAACGCCGTCTGTGGGAATCGAACCCACGACCACATGGTTAAAAGCCATGCGCTCTACCGGCTGAGCTAAGACGGCTGCGTCATAAGGGGATAATTAAACTATTATGGCGCAAAGGACGTATCTTTGATGGAGGAATTCACCCAACCGGAGACTAAGAGATACCAGACTTGAACAGTTCCATCCAGTGATTAACGGAACTACAATATAAGTCAAGCAATCCATTAGTTTTTCATCTAATTTTACCTGTTGTTATTATAAATTTGAAACTCCGCTAAAAACAAACATGAACTATAATTTTCTGTTTAAATTTTTACAATTACATAAGAAACCATGAACTAAAAATTATTTCATATATAATCCAGATAATAAAACAATAATTTATCATATTCAATCCAATGAATGTTTTTTTAATCATTTTCTTCCCCCTCCCTCAAAATGACACTCCCAAAAAGTCATCATCTCAAAACACATGCAATCTTTGAAAAATGTTTTTTTTTTTAAAAAAAAAAAAAATTGACAAAAACCCTTTCTTGAAAAAACAGAAATTTATCAAATTAGAGTAATTTCTTTGAAATCTTATAAATTTTATATTTGTTTTAAGAATCTTTCTTTTTCGTAAATTTTTATAAACAATAACTTTAAAATCTATATTACAATTTGGAGAAATCACAATGCCTTGACTATCATCAAAATTATTGATTAGGTGACCGACCAAGAAAAAGACCACCTCACCATGGACTTGGATTCTTCTTAAATAATTAAACGGAAAAACACATTATACTCATCCCTCAAGGGTTTATCGATTTTTTTCAATATAAATTGGGTGACTCCTTCCTCCAGCTCCTAAGTCCTGTACTTACTTAAGTTCAAATAGATGCAAGAATTATCAATCATATAATTGATCGCAGCATCACAGAGAATTGTTAAATTATTCACGCAAGAGATATGGAACTAATTCAGGTGCTAAACCTGAAATACACATTAAAATGTAAGCAAGCACAACGAAAATCCCATAAACAAGGAAAAGCTAGAACTGTAATCCCCTATTATAACAGTAGAAGATACCAATTAGAAGAATCTGTTCTGTGATCTTGTAAAGCCCATGATGTCAAATCCTTTCCCTCAGTCTCCAGTCATTGATTATTGCTGAGCACATTGCACTCTCTGCGCACCTCCATGCATATCATCATCTTCCTCGTATGCTTCTTGAGCCTGAGCCTGCTTCCTGCGCATCTCCTCCTCAATGTTAACATCATGCAAAGTAGTCTCCTCACATTCATCGAGCTCCATGTCCGTCAGCTCAACTGAGGTTCTCGGCGGTAGCACAGCTTCCAAAGATTTGCATTGCTCAGGGCTTAGCGAGTCTGGGAAGTCAACACTGAAGTGAATGTACAATTTACCCTTCATGAATGACCTCTGATATATTGGCATTCCCTCGTCATTAATGGCCTTAAATTGATCTGTGTTACCGAGAGATTAAGAAAATCAATAGCACAAACAATAAAACTACTGTCATGCAAGTGAGTATCAAAAGAAAACTTCATATTTCAAAGTTCTGGGAATGTATAAAGACAGCTCTAATTTAGAGCAGCATAATACAACCTTTCTCACTATATATACACCCTCTAATAAAATGAAATTAA